CCTGTTGCTCATCCCTTTCATATTCAGGTAGATAACTTGTTGAGTGGCCCTCGTATCTTCCAGTTTCTTTTAGAATTCACTATTGCGGGAAACTTCTTCGAACCAGGGTTGGGTTTCAAAACAAGACGCTTGGCAAGATCTTGAATTCCATTTCTTGTTAAGTCGTGATAAGATGTCCTCCACCTTTACAAATAAATCAATATTCCCACGTCAAGTGGTCACTGGAACTCCATGCTCCGGGCGCCAACATGCCTAGAAACGGCCCTGTCTCTCATTTTACCTGGTTGTGACATTGTTGCCATCTTGACAAGATCTTGCTTTTTTCTTGCCAATATTTTTTCTTGCCAAGCCCAACTCTACTTTAAACTTGAAGAAGTTTTGACTCCCATTGCTTCTGTATTTTCTGCTGCTAGTTTTTCTTTTCCTATCAATTGTGCTTCATGGGCTTAAATCATAACCCAGCCTCATGATAAAACGTATCATGTCGAGGGTAAATGTTGGTAAATGTTCCCGTAACGCAAATGCCAAATTTGATTTTCATAGGCCCATGGAAAGCGAAGGCCTAGACTGAAAGAAACATGATAACAGACCTTTCGGGCTGTCTGGATGCTCCAAGTAGAAACTTCAGACTATCGATTACATACTACATAATCATTCTTGGCCTTAGGAAATCCCTCTGGCAAAGAAAATGAAGCATTTTCGTAGTAAAAACAGTCTCTATCCGCATGTTTCCATTAGAAATGCATTGAAGCTTGCGCGCTTGACTTGCGCCCAGCTATGAACAAGCTCGAGTGCAGAGTCTTTTCCTTCCAGTCTCGTTCACCTCTCTGGCTCGACCCCCCCCCCCCCCTCGTAGGTCGCCTGTATCTCATCCTGACGCTGCTAAGTTTTGCCGCACCAAATGCATAACTCTACGAAGAGCGAGTCTGAGAGAGTTCCTTTCCGTTCCCTTCGCTCGGAACCTCTTGAAGGCGGCTCGGAACCGCTCGAAAGCTGCACCGTGCGTGATTCGAGGCACGTCGAGTTAATTTTTTCCCCATTTCCGAACGAACAGGACCGGTATGCGGCGCCCTGGTGGATCGATACCAGAGCAGAAGGGTGTCCATGGTCGGAGGGATCATCTGCTGCATCGGGGTCACCTCCTCCTACTTCGCCACGGAGATCCACCACCTCCTCTTCACCCTCGGGCTCACACTCGGTGAGGCCCTCGAGTCCTTCGAGTCCGGTCCGACGCTTCCGACGTTTTTTGTACGCATTTTTCCGCGTAGGTATCGGGATGGGGCTGTCCGGGACGCCGGGGATGGTCATCGTGTCGCAGTACTTCGAGAAGCACCGCGGCGCGGCGAACGGCATCAGCGTGTCCGGGAACGCGATCGGAGGCGTGATCATGCCCCCGCTCATGGAGCATCTGGTCGAGCAATACGGCTTTCGCGGGGCCATGCTCGTCCTCGGGGGTCTCCTCCTCCACGTCTGCCTCGGGGCGTCTCTCTTCAGGCCTCTCCCGCTTATCCCTCCCCCTCCCTCGAGGGATTCGCAGGAGCGGCTCATCGAGGAAGACGAAGAGAAGAGCGAAAAACACTTTTCTGTGGTCGAGATGAGGAGCGCGCTTCCCTCGTCCAAATTCAAGGAAGGCGTCTACGTTCGACGGCATCATTCGGTCTCCTTGGCAGGTAGATGCGCTTCCCATATATGAGGCATGTGCAATGCATTGCATTTTTGGAAACGAATTCATCGATCTCGAACGAGGCACGAGCGACTCGAGTATTAAAAATGGATTCCCTTGCGAAACAAAAATAAACGGCAGGAAGTCTCCTGGAGCTGCCGGTGGACACGTCGAGCCAGGTGATCAACGCGGAGGAGCGACGGCAGGAGGCATCCCGAGACGACTCGTCCCTCTGCTCCCGCTGGATGACGATGATGCACGACCCCATGTTCCTCGTGCTGGCGGGCTCCGTCTGCCTGCTCAGCGTGGGGATCCCCCAGGTGCTCATCTACCTCCCGCCGCACATGGAAGACCTGGGGCACAGCAGAGGGAGTGCAAGCCTCGTGCTCTCCATCTCTGCCGCTTGGGATCTCCTGGGGCGACTCTCGGCCGGGTTCTTCACCGATCGAGAGTTCCTTCCTCGGATCTACTCTTTCTTCGCCGTGTGAGTCCGTGTTCGTGCTATATTGGGACCTCCACTCCGGCAGCCCGAGAAGGAGCCGATTCGGGACCGATATCGATCCCTCCGATTCCGAACCACGCATGCTACATTACCTATATATGCAACCGGCATCGAACTAGAATACCATGGCAGGTTAGACTCAGTAATTTTTAGTCTCGATAATGCAGTATGGTGAGAATCTAATCCCCATCCCATACAATTTCCCATCCTAAGAGTGGAAAATTGTAAGACTGTAAGAAAGTTGTAAGGCTTACAACTCACACTCGCGTCCCCCCGTCTCTTCTCGTCTCTGCTGGGATGCAATCTTTCTCCCGACCTCCCCTCCCCCTCTCCCTCCCCCTCCCCCTCCCCCTCTCCATGGAATGACTGAAAGCCATTGACATTGTTGACTCCTGGACTTACTCTCGTGCAGTGTCTGAGCGAGCCGGGTGGGATTGGTCTCCTCTCGGGAATGGACTCTTTTGAAAGCATAAAAAAAAATCATTCCAGACCAGAGTGGGAAGACTGTTTCAGGAAATATGATAGTATCGCAGTGCAAGTTAACCTCATTTGTCCGTCGAGCATAAATGCGATTGCTTGTCGATCCTCCTTCCCTGTTTTTTTTTTTAATATTTATTTTTAACCTTCAGACACATTTTTGAAATGAGCACTTGATGACGCCGAAAAAGTAGAATTTTGAAGAAGTGGAAAAATGTGTGCAGTGAAAATGTATTTCCTCCCAATGGTTTTTACGTTCGGGAAATGCAGCTTAGTTCGTGAATAGTCTAGTCCGATAATCCAGATATGATCATTCCTTGTCATTTTTTCTCAAGGTACGCCTCGATATTATTCTATTTCCGCCGTCAGGCACTCAGATCAAGAAGAGAAAATTTAATGGGAAAGAGAATCGGAAAGTAATGATATGTACTGACGTGGGCTCGGATGGAAACGCATGGCGACGAGACCTCGCAGCTGTTTGCACCTGTTTGCACGTCTTCGTGAGGAACTCGATGGGATCGATGTCAATGTCTTGCGAGGATCGTGTGATAAATAATGGACGAAAGTGAGAGTAAGAGAGAGAGAACTCCATGCCCTCGACTTCGAGCTTGGAGTGTTCCATCGAGGCCCTGTTGTTACAGGGAGCTTCGACAGCCATACAGAAGCCAAAAGAAAACATGCCGGAGAAGTTGCTATGCGAAAAAAAAGATTAGGGGTGGATTTTCGAACTGAGAACTATCCGATAATGCAGCTTTATTTCTGAGAAAATGCATTATAAATCCGGTAAATAAAGCAGCATTATCGGATAGTACTCTGTTCAAAAATCCACCCTTATAATGCATTTTCTCTGAAATTTCTCTTTATTTCCAGGAAAATACTCTATTATCAAATAAGCGATTTTTGAACCGAGCATTTTCCATAATGCTCCATTTTATTTAGAATCAGTTCGTGATTGTAATAGAGTAGGTCCAGAGCCCCTCTTTCGTCGATAATGTTGGATTATTTTCATTAGTCGCAATGGAAGGGCTGCACGACTTGCATCGTGTGCAATCGTATCGCTTCGTGTTAACTCCTTGACGTATTTTTTCACCGAAAATTTGTTTTTTTTTTTCTGGTCTAATAGATATATTAGGAATAGAGTCCTCCACTACTCCTCGTCGTCGTGCAGGGTCGTTAACGAAGAAGTAAAATGCGAAATGATGGCGAATTGCATTTCATGTAACGATTCGTGTCGTGTTGAAAATAATCGAGGATTATTATAATAGAGCATTGTCAAATGCAGCATTATCTGGCCAGTTCAAAAATCGAAAAAATAATGCTTCACTTTATAAAGCTGTATTATCCAATAGAGCAGGATTATTTTAGAGCTCGGTTCCGATTATCCGATAAAGCTGCTTTATTTCAGAGAAAATGCATTGTAAATCCGGTAAATAAAGTTGCATTATCGGATAGTTCTCTGTTCAAAAATCCGCCCTTAGTAACTGAACTAGAAATAGACTGAATCCTTTCACTTCCTTCCCCTAATTATTCCTCACTCGGGCGGTGCAACATGTGTCCCGCGGAAGAAGGTTCTCGATGCTAACGGCAAATTTTGGGCGCTGGAATTTCCTCGGGGTGGGGAAGAGGGTAAGAGTCATCTGCCAATCAGCGCGACCTTATGCCCTCATATGCCCTGGGGGCAAAAGAGGGAAGCCTAGGGATTTCCTAGCTTTACTAAGCGATGGGGAGAGGAATGCACCGCCCAATGGGAACCATGACGGCGCAGTTCTTTGCTTCGTGTCCCCGAGCACTCGGTTGCTGGGGTGTGACTCGCTTCAGGCGGAGCCCATCGGTCGGTCTCGCTGTAACTTGCGGCAAGTTCCTCTAAATATCCTTGACGATCTCTTATCCAAAATCTGATCAGTCCGTGTCCGTCTAAAGGCAAGAGCAAGGAATGGGCTACAGACCTAACGTCAGGGTCTTTTTGTCAATGTTCTCAGAGAAATTAGTCACGACATGCCATGAAGGTCTACTTTCTGAGAACTTGGGAGCAAAATGACACGATCTTCATCCAAGATAACCACCCTTTAAAGGAAATCGAATCCAGAAAATTCTCTTCGAAAATTGGCGTTTATTTGGTTGCAATTATGAGGCCTCGACTTCGCATCGATTCCGCTACAGCGTGCATTGGATGGTTTTCAAATGGTTTTGGAAGGGGAGGAGTTGTGAAGAGCATCGAGGTTTTGGGAAGTCAGTCAGAAGTGAGTGAGAAGCTTAAGGTTATTAGGTTACGAATGAACGAGGCCCAAAAGAGTGGCTTGATGCTTCGAGGCATTTTTCCCTCGCCGTAGTAGTAACTGCGGTATAAAAGGCCGTGACTGAAGTAATAGCGCTCCTACGGCCGCCAGGAGCGTGAGCTACTCGGGCCTATCTGGTTATTCTATGCATCTTGAGCAATGAATCCCTGGACATTTTTTATTATACAACACACTCACGCTCGAGACGGCTTGTGATACTGTTTATACGGTATAACGATGGAAGGAAGAGGTTTCCAGCACATCAGCTTCTTGGGATGGATCTTGTTGATGACTCCTACCGAGGCGTAAACCTGTTGGATGACGTGCAATCGACACTAGGAAGTATATGAGCACGGAAGGGAAGGGTGCAGAACGCCATTGAGATGCAGTGACGTTTCAGGCGAGACGCTTCCATTGGGCGATGCATTCCTCTCCCTATCGCTTAGTTTTCTTTTGCATTTTATAGCCCACGTGAAGAGGCAGACATTTTCATGCGGCTCATTGCGGATAAAAGTTGCACACCCCTGACTTAAGCCATCGATGGCATCTTCGAAATCTAGTTATCACTTCCGAAGAAAGTATTCGGAAAACCGTTTTCGTCATTTCTTGGTCAGTCGATGGGACTTTCCGTACCGATGCAGTTACCAGTCTTTTTCTTTTCGGGATTGCGAAGGTCGAAGAGAGTGAAAAAGATTAGGAATTAAGCACCGCGATTTTTTTTTACAGCTTTCGACAGCAAAAAGTAGGATCTAATTATTCAGAGTGCAACAAAAGTCACGAGTCATGAAATTATAGGGTATGGATTATTTCCTGCCTGAGTTGCTTGGAATTCATCCGACTCTCTGGATACAAAAATGCCAAATTATTGGAATGAGAAACTCAAGTGACCCAGAGGCGAAAAAGGTGAGTCGAGTCAATGGGTCGGTTCGAGTCACTCTGGGTCAAGGACAATACCAATGGACAAGGACAATGAGAATCATGTCTCAAAGAATCCACTCAAAATGTTTTTTCCCGAAAAATCTCGTCGAATCCAGCAATTCGTTTAGGCACGATTTCAATCGTAGGTTGCATTTAGCAGTTAGAGGACGAAAGCGTCGATTCTCAACGGGAACTCACCCAAAGTCTATGGGAACCGTACATGAATGATTCCTCGACAAAATATTTTTCCCTGTTCCCGCGAGTACAATTGATATGGGGCAAATCTGGGAATTCCGCAACACTCGTGAAACTGCCGGGTAATTCCGCAACATGTCACTTTTCCGCTGCATCATTTTCCTGATGAACCTCAATCAGTACCCTATCTAGCTTAATGGATAGTGCCATATGTACTGTGACATCACTGCTTTCACAGCTCTTTCATCTCAGTTGGATAAATAATGACGTGTGGACAACGGAAGCAAGGTGCTCCTCCTCGTTGGAATCCGTGCTCTATAGCGAGAGTCCGATTGTTCGACTCGTGTCGAACATTATCTATAAATTTATTTTAGGGCATATGGCAATTTAGATTGCATCTCCATTCAGTCCTTTGATAGTTTTATGACCGAGTAAGAGGCGATTGAGATGCATAACTCCTTAAGTATCAGCAGTGCAGACGTTGCGGGATTGCCCGATCGGAAAATGAACCATCGGTGAATTCCGTAACTTCTTGCTGACGTTTCCTGTATCGTCCTGAGGTCGAGGTTTTTAATTTCGCACTCTTATCGCTCAGTCTTCTGTCGTGCTTGTGCATGTCGCATCCGACTTCCAATTCATGATTACCTATAATAAGTTGGGATATTGCCATTTGCAAAGAAATGGGAAACCCCAAAGGTAAAACCAAAAAAATCAGCAAGAGCCAGAGGACAAAGGAAATAGCCAATACCAAGCAGGAAGAAGGATAGGAAAAAATAAGAATTTGCAGGAAGATCAAGATGCGGCAATTAACGCCACGAAGTCTGGCAGGGTGGGCTTGCGTGGGACTCCAAAATGCATCGAGTGCCACGAACAACCATAAATGATAGTCGAGGAGGGCTGGCAAATAATGTTTCAACATTGGAAATCGAGAGTATGATAATTTCACTGTCTTGAAATAAAACGCCAGGATAGTTTACGGCATACGTTGGAGGTCCTTCCCTTTAAAACACGCCTCGAGGCCCCAACTTTCCATCGCCGAAAAAAAAAAACCGAGAGAAAAAGACAAAAGACGCCCTTTACTTGTCATGGGGATTCTCGGAAACGTTCTTTTTCGCTTCGTTTGGTTGAGATTTTTTTTTTTGTTGTACTTTATACCTGAACTCCTGGTAAATCTGAATACGAGAAGAACTATTATCCATCATTGCCAAAGTTAAGGGCATGAAAACTAATAATTTCGCCCTTGAAGGGCGAGGGGGCATGGAAGAAGTAAGGGTTGCGGAATTCCCAGAATAGTGTTGCGGCTTTAGCAAAAGGGTTGCGGAATCAGCCGAATGCTCATCGGAAAGGACGATCGCAACAAAATCTAACCCTGTAAATTCTAACGAGAGGAATCATTCCGTGCTTCGAGTCATCCGATTCGTCTTTTCCTCGCGTATCATTGAAGGTATCATCAACATGGTCCTGTGCACATAGACGCTTTCAGCTCCAGTGAAAGAAGGGAACAAATAGTTGGGATCCAAAGTCGTTGCGGAATTCACAGATTTGCCCTACTAGCATCGTTTACGTATCATTTAGATTCTAAAGGGCGAAAACGTTAGGTTTAAGCATTTTTTATCGAAGGATTTTCCACTCGGTGTAACCTAATCGACTCAGCCTAATCGATAGGCGAAGGTCCCACGTCGATAGCGTGTCCGATTGCCAAGATAGAGTCTGATATATTCAATTGCGAAAACGATTGAAATTCAAGGCTCTCGCCCCCTAGCGGCAAAACGCTTCAACCCGATGAAGCCTTGCCTGGAAAGAAACTCTTCGGCGATACCTTCGAGAGGAAATGCGAGGATCGACTCTGGTCTGCGATCTGCTTCGAGCCATCACGAGGGAGAAAGCAGTGGACGTTTAAATCGAAAATGTAAATATTTGCGAACGGTATGCCAATATGCCTCGAAGGACTTGTCGGTTCACAAACTTTTGCGGGCAAATACGGGATTGTGCAAATAAAAAACGCACTGCTCCTCGAGCGGTGCTTTTTTTTTCGTTGTGCGTTCGGGTGAGTTTAATGGGCATCACACGAATAGAGTGAAAAATCGTGCCACCTAACTACACTTACGTGCCAGTCTTCCTTTGGTACATCTTGAATCTTATACGCCTGAAGCATCGTGAACCTTTGGTATCCGAATGGGTCCACGATCCTTTCAGACGTTATTTCGTAGTATCGACCATCATTTCGTCTGCATCGTGAAGACCGGAAACGGCAGGATCCAAGAACATCTAGAATGAACTCCACCCTTTCAATCTGAGCGAGTGGAATTCATTACTTCGGAATCCCTCGGCTTGGAGGGCTTTGCAAATGACATGGGGACTTTCAGTGGAGTTTTGCACGTTTTATTATCGTTACTCGGCTTCTTCACTCGGTTTTCAGTTTTTCCTTGTTCTCTCCTCGCGATTATTCCGGCACGCGTGTGACAAGACTGACAGCCTTGCAAAAGCCAGCTTTCCTGTTTATCAGAAATTCTTTTCCGAGGAAGGATCATCGGAATTGTTTTTTCCTCGGATCCCAACATTTCCCAGAACTCGTCCTCGTTTTCTTTCCTGTCACAAACCGCCACGTCGTTGCATCGGCTCGTCGCCCTCCTCGAAGGCAGGAGACGTTTCGTCTGCCGTACAGAGTCGAAGTCGCATCAGTCGGAGTCAGAGCCTCCCGCCGTCACCGTGTACCATGAAGCTCCTCGCCTCTTGCAGTCTTCTTCTGATCCTCGTTGAAGGAAAGAGCGGAGGTTCCACAGGGAGCTGCCCTTCCTCTGCCCCTCCTGCCGTCTCACGTACGCCCGTTCCATCATCTTCTTCGGGGAATTAATTTTAAATGTCCTAATTCTCGGTTTCCTTGTGGTGGTGGTATTTTTTTCGGGGAATCGGTAGAACTCGTACTTACATCCCGATTCCAAAAAGGAAAATCAATATTCAGAACAGTCCCACGGAAACATCGCTTTCTATCTGGTGGACAGCAAAATTAAAGTCTATCTTCCGTGTCCAAATCCCTCAACTCGTGATCGAACTCCTAGGGGCGGGATGAACTCGGATTGATTCCATACCCCAAGCCACACACTATGTGGAAAACCTAGTCGTGATGGAAAATTTTCAGCCTGTTCTCTTTTCGCTCATACAGCATCATTGCGGGAAAAAATGTTTCGGAAAAGTCCGAGTAAGGCATAGGTAGCAGAGTTGCCGTTTAATGCGAGGAAAAGGGAATCCCGCTTCATTGCGGAAACGATTTCTCCTCTTTTCGCACGGAGACATGCCGTTCCGAGGAAACCTCGGATTCGCTCCAAGCGACGAAAGTACGTAAGGGAGCTTTCCTCTCATCTTCCCGTAAATTTCAAGTCCTTGTATTGTCGGAATCGGTTGTCCCGTTAACGGAGGTAATTTTTCGTGCCTACCCTTCAGATTTTCCATTCAGGGATTCTTTAATTGCATTCATTTTTCTCGAAGACGTCTTGTTTCCTCTCGGAATACTCGAAAAAATGTAATTTTCATTTCGTGACTTGTCCTCACTAACCCGTGAGATTTAAGTGCGGTACTCTCACGGAAAAGTTGAAAGTATCATACCTCTCCAACAAAAAAAAAAACCCGAGCGGTGCAGGGAAGAAAAGGATCCGGCGTTCGTCCGGACAGACCCCGAGTCCCAAGGTTGTCTAGCCCTTCTTGGCTCCCGTCTCACGCGTTCCCTCTAACTCTGTCTCATTCCACTTCTTGCCAGCACACGAATTCAATCAGAAGAGGACCATTTGTAGCTCTGCCTCGAATGGGGTTTGGGATTCCGGCCGATTTTCTCTTCTCCAGATAGGTATACCCCACGGTGCTTTTTTTTTTGGAATGGTTTACCAATTCATGAGATCATTCAATGAATCTTTTAAACTAGGTATAATTTCCAATTATACCTAGTTTAAAAGTGATACCTAGTCTAAACGTGAGTCGCATTCGCGACTCACGTTTGCGAATGAGAAAAAATCTTCCTCTTTGCGATCGGACTTGGAATGCAGGACCCTTACGTGGAATGTAGCCTTAATATTTCAGGAGGAAGACGGAAAAAATTCCGGGAGCAACACGAAGTGGGATTTCCGAAGAAATACAGGACTTATTTTTTCAGAGCTTGAGGGGAAATCCAGGATCACATGCTCTCATATTTACGACGTAGAATCGGATATTTCCGAGAAAAACAACTTAGTGATAATAGGGAAACCATATTCCGACCTAAATCGGCTTCCATAGACCTCGAAAGACATCAGCCATAGGAAAGATGTAGCTAAAGTTTATTTTCTCTTCGTCTCAGCATTTATTCGAATGATGAGTAAAGGCCTCTTCATAGTCATGCTTGATAAACCATGTCTTAAAGTGAAGAAAATCTCTTTTGTCGACAATGCTCGTATGACAGGAACGCATTTCTCTATTAGACCTATGTCGAAGGTTCTTCCCCGTACGTAAGAAATTTACCGAGATTTTTATTTCACATAGTGAAAATTGACACTACGTAGTTGCTTCGGTCAGGTCCAAAGTTGTTTCTCCTGACGTCATTCAGTGAAATGAAGTTCTTTTAGATGTGATTATTCTCGTGATCGTTGTGTGAGTGTGATTATTCTTTTAAGTACCACTTAAATGTGGAATATCTAATATCGAGGAAGGACGTTTCAGGGATCACATCACGTCCAACACAATGAAGAAAAAAAAAACAAAAGGAAATGTAATATTTTTTGTCGGTGTGGGCGGTGCAGTCCTCCTCCTGGAGGACTCCCTTCCTGTCTGCGGTTCATCATTTTCCCATTTCCCCTCTCGTCTCGCCTTCTCGGATATCCACTTTGTCTTGCTTTTGCTCAGCTTTCATTTCTCATGTGTCGTCTCGATCGGGTACGGGCGGGTCTAGGATCTCGTACGGATCACTTTCGTCTAGCTCTCATTATTAATTTCATCTTTCTTCATTCTTGCCGTTTCGATCGTTGCTGTAAGATGAGATTTAATCGGACATGAGGTCAGGATCATCTTCCTCCAGCCGAAACGGGCTAAATTCAGTTGTTTCTTCTATGTTCCAGTAATACCTAACACCTCAGCCTGTCTCTTGAACCTAAACAGAGAGGGTAAACAGAAGATGCTGTAGTGTATTGATCGTGTCGACTTAAAAAAAAAAAATATATATATATATACGAGGTGTGGCTATTATGTTTCCAGACTGGTTTTATGGCTGAACTTTGAGAGAGAGGAGGGGAGTGGGGCTATGGCAGTAACATGGAGGGGAGTCTTAGCTTATAGCTGGGCAAGTTTCAGTGTGGTCTGACCAGCGCTCTGGGAGCTGCGGCCAGTTAAGATAGACCGTATTTGTTTGCGCTGGCGGATTTGAAATGGAGCATAATCTCGAGCAGANGAACTAGCCCCGAGGGAGTACTTGTATAGGCACGACCAAGTGTGCAAGTATGTGCACTGGTGTGTCTCAAAGCAAGCCGGCCTGGAAGTCCCAGATAAGTGGTACGAACACCAGCCAGAGTCTGTCGTGGAGAACGCCTCCACCAAGATACTATGGGACATGCCTATAATTACAGATCGCAGTATAGGCTGCAATAGGCCGGACCTTACGATCTATAAGAAGGAGAAGAAGACCGCCCTCCTCGTAGATGTGAGCATCCCAGCCGATAACAACCTCCAAGAGAAGACCAGGGAGAAGCTGGAGAAATACTCCGAACTGAAAGTGGAACAGTTGTGCGGAATGAAGACCACCATAGTTCCGATCATCATAGGCACTACTGGCGTCGTCCTGAAAGACTTCAAAGGACATGTCAAGAAGCTGGAGTGTGAAATCTCACTCGATATCCTCCAGCGTACAGCAATCTTGGGCACGGCCAGCATCCTTCGCCGTGTCCTTCAGAATTAAGACGAGTATGAGGTCTGGGATGTGGTTCATCCCCCCTCATATCTCCAATACCGGCAGGGTGCCGTGGAAGGATTTATTTTATTATATATATATATATGTACGTAATACGAGCAGTCAACGCTAAAGGTTTTTTTTTTAATCGAATGATGCTTTTAGAAAGCATGACGGAGTATTAAATAGTAGAAGGTCTTCTTAAACTAAATGGTTCAAATTCCATAACTATGGCGTGAGTCCATCCAGAAAGTGAAAGTCCATCCTCATTGAAAGAGCGTTCAGTGTCGGAATGAGACAAAAAAAAAAAACGAACCGTGTAAAGAGGTGCATCCGGTTCTGGTTGCATCCGTCTAGTGGTAAGCAGTACTTGTGGCTCTTCGAGTGACACCAGTGGAAGACAGACCTGGCTCGGCCGATTCTGGACTGGATTCCTCGGACTGGTCACGGGAAATGGGAATGGGCTCGGGAGGCAAGATGATCCCCTCATCCTCGGTGGATCCCAGGCCACCATAAATGAAGCTCCTTTCATGGCCTTCCTGGATGTCGAGGTCGGATCCTCCTCCTCCACTTTTGTGTCCAACTGCAGCGGTATGATCGTCAGCGATCAATTCGTCGTCACTTCTGCTTGGTGCATCTACCCGGGGAAAGTGACATTTTTTCTTCTTATACTTATGGGATGTTCACGTTGCGCACGCGTATTTTAAACTGCTATGAAAGGATTTCCTTACAGCCACCGGTAGGAAGTCGTGCTCAATATTGTTGACACGACACAATCGCTTTGGCTCGGTAAAATATATTCTTTACGCCTTGGTTTCCAGTATCAATTTTTTTTCATTCATATATTTGCGATATTTGTTGATATCTCATTTGTTTCTCTTCAACTGCAGGCGCCTCGCGAACGCCAGTAAAGTGACAGTCTGGGTGGGGAGTGCTACTATCAGGACAGGCACTCCCATAGTTGCCGATTATTGGAAAACTCATCCCGATTATACTGGAGGTGAGAGCTTTTCTCTATTTTTACAGCCCGGAATCCTCTAAATTAACCCAAAAAAAGTATTAACTGATGAGTTAGTCTTCGCATCGAACGTCACGTGATTGCAATTGTGCGAATCTTCGATCGAATGCTTGGGCTCCTTCATGGTTTCTTTTCGATTCCTCTCAGTCGGAACAGTCGCGAATGTCACTGGGAATCACGTAGGGTTGATCCACTTGCCCAATCGTCTCACCTTCGACTCGACCATCCAGCCGATCTGCTATCCGATGTCTGACGTTCTGGGGACTGCCGTATCTGGATGCAACAAGAAAGCGTACGGGTGGGGAGGCGTCGATGTTACCGGGGTTACCAAGGGAAGCACTACCCTCAAGAAGTTTTCCGACTTCACCATCACATCCGACAATTGTGCCCCCTCCTCCGACAACAGACACTTTTGCGTGAAAGCAAATTCCCTGAACACAGGAGTTTGCGGCTTCGTACGTGTCATGTATCACTCTCTTAGAACTTAGAGCGTAGAACATACAGGGTGACCCAAAAAAGTTCACACTTTTCGATGCGCATTTTAGGTGTGGTGCTTTCGAGAAAATTTTTGTCAGTTACATGAAATGGCAAGAAGAGAGGTTTAGCTTCAAAATGCTTTTTTTTAGACCTAAAATATCTTAAACGGTGACTTAGGAAAAATGATTGAATTTCAGTTATGAAAAATCGGCGTTGCGCTCACCGACTCAAGCCAACATCCCCTTGACGCCCTGACTCTCACGAGAAGGGGAAGGGAAACGCTGACCTCAGCAGACGTCGCGAGGATGATTGGACGTGCCTGCTGCCGTAGGCGGTCGTTCAGCGCAACGCCGATTTTTCGTAACTGAAATTCATATAAATTTTTATACATCATCGTTTAAGATATTTCAAGTCTGAAAAATGCATTTTGTAGATAATTCTTCTTCCATTACATGTAACCGGGAAAAATTTCCTCGATAACATCACACCTAAAATGCTCATTGAATAGTGTTCCTTTTTTTTGGACCACCCTGTATATGCCATCGGGTTAGATATGCAAAAGCACAGAGATGGCCAGGACACTTGCATTGCCAATGTTATCAAATTAGACTGAGTTCTCGACTGCAATATGTACAGAAGCATTTTCGGGCGAAGAGTAGGCATGATTAATAACTTGGACATCAGCTAAGGGAACATTGAGGGAGAAATGAATAGATTGCAGCCAACAGTAAGGAAGAAGTTAGTCGGGCAGTAGTGCGTCCGAATCGGCCGATCGGTTGCAAATATTGTACGAACGATAGAAAGCGAATAGCCACTGCCAAGCGTTTCTTGCAGCGCCACATTCCCTAGGGTAGCACTACAATCTTATTTGATCTCGAATCAATCATTATATGTGAAGCTTTTTTTTGGCGGGGAGGTTATAGCCAATGTTAATTTCTGAACATTTCCTACAAGAATGAGCAACCATTTAATCTTTTCAGCACCTTAAGACTCATGGAGACTAGTGATCATACCTTTTCCAACAGACTCGAGAAAGTTGCATACGTCTATATTTGTCGATTGCGCTTCAGATCGTTCAGTAATTTTTCCAGACGATATTGGAGGATATTTGTTGTAAGAAATTATAGGTATCCGTGCAACAGGCATCATTCGTAACTCAAAGGAGAAAACTCATGATTCCGAAGAGCGCAGCTGGAACTGAAATTCAGTGGCAGCTCGTGATCTGCAACAGTACTGTTGTGTCAAGTCATTGAAGGCAGAGTGGGCTATGCTGATCAGTCTCCATGGAATCGCAGCCACGAGTAGTCGCTGCCGAAATTTAGTATCCCTTTTCGATGCGATTCTCAGGCCCTTCCTACAATGATGCTCACTTGCATGTTCCGATTGATTCTCTTCGGCATGGGATAATAAACAGGAGAATGAAATCGGGTGAGCCCAGAAGCCGAGGGAGAGCGAACCGGCTGAAAATCCAGCTCTGCTTCCCTGTCTGGCCTGTCTGCATGCCGCGTCGATACTATTCGCGATGGCGAGAGAAATGTCAAGTGATAAGTACTTGACATATCTCTCACACATGCTGCGTCGGTAGCATGATGATGACATGGTACCGGGAGAAGGACTTTCCTTCTGTCCTGCGTCAATATACTAGTAATAGGACAGACTTGGTCTGACAGGATAAAACCATCGTCCATGACCGTGTTAGTTCCCAACTATTGACACCTTATTTAGATACCATTGGTAAATTATCATAAACATACAACAATACAAGCATTTTCGAGAAAAAATTTTTGCATTTTGGCCATGACCCTTGTCCAGTGGGCAAAGTATTAAAAAAAAAAACTCAAGTGTTCGAAGTGCTATTGCAAGAGTGTAAATGTTGACCTAGCTGGTGCTCCAGCGAATCAAATGTTGCAAGCCAAGAAATCCATCTCGGAATACTTCGGAATATTCCTTCTTTCTCCGAATAGTATATATTCTAGTAGTGATATGAGTGAAGAGGAAAGGGCTTTCCGGGCGATCAGCATCTTCCTCGCCGCTCTCATCCTTTTAATCGAGCAGTACCGTTGCATCGACATATTGCCGATATGGCACCGTCAGTGCAATCGGGTATAGGTGGATTAGCATGCTAGCAATGCCGATGCCCAAAGAAGATGCCGAACGAATAAAAACGGAAGAAAAAAAACCGCGGCAATGCGGCTCGGTAAATGGCATCAGCAACAGGAAAAAGTAAGGCTGTCACGACGCGTCGAGAACAGTATTGATAGTTGGAGGTATCGTTAGTTTCGTTAGTTTTATAACCTATTGGGATGGTCATCCCCCACTCCACTCCGATCACAGGCGAGAGATGGAAATAAGCCCTTGCCCCTCGAAGTGATTAACGACGGAATCGGCCGGCACCCCTTCCCCTCCCATTCGGGGATGAAACAGAGAAATTCCACACAAGGTTGAAGAGTACCCGTTTAGCAAGACTGAGACTACAGAGGACTCTTGATATTGACGGACTTTGTGCCCCGTGGGATTCTTCATCCAAAGAAGAATGATCCCATCATTGTCTCGGAAAGGAGGGATTGCAAAAGAAAAATACACTAATAAAAAAGCAACATTCATCCAGATGGTCGGCTTTAAGTCATCCCCGCCGAAGCTCAGAACGAAAATCCAGCCTTCGCATCCGCGACGGAAAAACATATTTATCGCCATCCGAACGAGGGAATCCCCCGACGCTTTTCCCTTTCGTTCCCAGACGAGGTCACGGACCGCCGAATGCGGCCGGACTCATCATCCGAGGAAGGAAAACGAAATGCGTCCTGGATAATTGCTTTTAGCGTGACGTTGACCGAGCGAGACGGTAAAGGAACGCGGCCAGGCGATGTCGGTATAGCTCGTCGCGGCCGGAGAACCGTTCTTCACGGGAAGAGGAATCACCTGGCGATGTTACTCCGACTCCATCATTTTTCCTGCATATCCGCTTAGCGTTGCCGCCATTATTATTATTATGATTTTTTATATATCGAGTCGCGTGAGACTTAATCGGGGAGAAACAAATGACGAAGCCGTAAAAGTGCTACGCGGGAGATCGCGTTTCGGCCACGAATTCTCCCGTCCCGGATTCCCCCGAAATCCCCTCTCGTTGAACCTCTGATGCCATGACGAAAAATTCCTTTCCAGCCGGCGGAATCATGACGACGGGAGTGACGGAAGACCTTCTGGGCCTGTGGCAAGGCGAACGAAGCCTGTTCCGCTCCCAGAGCATCCCGTCGGGGCAGGACCTGACGAATCCCTTGCCTTCCCTGCCCCGTTCCCAGCAGGCGAATCACGTCGGCTTTGCCACCGTCCGACCATCGAGGAAGAGAGTCAACTTCCACGAGGTGAGGAGAGGAACGACGTTTCGGTTTCCGGATGGAACGGGTGGGGATGGGTCACCGTGGGTCGTCGTGGGTCACCGTGGGGCGCCCTCGCTTTCCGTAGCGGATGATAGCGTGGATGCGAGACCGTGATGCATGGAGTCATCGTATACATGGCGATCGTGCAAGTTTCAGCGTTTCCCTCTCTCTGCTCGGAGATCCTTTTATTATTTCTGGGAACCGTAAAGGGTGCAAGTCTCGACGAGGGGAGAGAGAGAAACGTGACGAGAGGGAGAAACCCGTAACAACTCGCGAAATGTCGCAAGTTATTACGGGTTCATCTGTCGTCCGATGTCGCACTCGCGACATCGGACGACAGATCCGACCCGACCGGACCCGGTGGAAATAGAGACGGTCCTCGCCGACGACAAACCGCGAAAATGCCACCCGACGTCCCCGTCCGTCGCCCGACGACGAATCGACGAAAGATCGTCCGATCGCTTCCGCGATTCGTTTCTTCGGATCCTCGACGTTCTCGGCACCCTGTCGTCGACGTCGCTCGACGGTCGATCGAGACGGAGGCGACGGAACCGCGCGAAACCGGAACGCAGCGAGACCCCACCGTCTCTCCGTCTGCAAGCGCCAAGTGGGAGTCACCTCGCCGGCTCCCCTTCCCTCCTCCCCCCCGGGGATGCATTCATGCACTATCGCCACTTCTGGTCTATAATTCTGATTCTTCTGATAGTTCTGGCTTTCTAATGGACCTATTTGAACGAGCATTTGACTTAGTTGTTCGCCTTTTGCCTTCAAGTCACAATCGGCGTCGGCAACAGCCGATGGGTATGAGATCATAATCGGCCATCGACTCATCGTCCACATGTGGCCATCGGTGCAGCCCTACGTTTTAACGTGACTGTTCGCAGTGAATAGAAGAAGGTGAACATTCAGGTGCACTCTGCTAATTCATTTTATCAGGGGAGAAGCGAGAGGAGTTAACCACATTTGAGCAGAAAAACCGATAGAAGTCACTGAGCGTTCGTTTAGTGAACGCACTCCGAATCCAAGGAGGGAAAACTACATACTCTTAAGGGATGGGGAGGAAAGGGAAGGAGGACCGAGACATCAAGGAGAATAAGTATAATATTGGGAAGTGTTTCCTAGAGAGGAATTCTTCCTCGATCCAAAGGATCTGCCTTGTAGCCTGTCTGGGTTTCTCTGTTTGGACTCGGTGAAGGCCAGACGCGCTGCTGTCTCGACCGCAGGTGAAACGTGGACACGTCGCTCGTGGGTCACCTCCCACCCGTCACCGAGTGCATTACTGGTATCATGATATCTCGAAAGAGATATCACCCAGCTCCCCTGGAATGTAAATGAGGAAAGGCACGAGGGTATTTTGCAGGTCTGGGTAGAGTTACAAGAATCAGCACTGCGGTCATGTAGGTTTAAAAATGAAGGACTGGAAGCATTCCATCCTTCTTGGCTCAATTTTTAAAAATTATCCATTTGACTAATATTACATTTTTTACACTTTTCTCTTGAAAAAGTCGATGATACTTATCAGTTATACAGTATTCCTAGAAGATATCGCGTAAAATATCAAGAGTCCTCTGTAGTCTCAGTCTTGCTAAACGGGTACTCTTCAACCTTGTGTGGAATTTCTCTGTTTCATCCCCGAATGGGACCGTAGGGAGACAGTGGTGGACCTCTTGTGCTGCGGTACGGTGGACGAGCCTTTCTGACTGGGATCCTCTCGTATGTCACACAGAACTATTGCGGATCGGATGGATATGCCGTCTACATCAGAGCCTCAGTGGGTGCCACTTGGGTCAATTCCATCGTCAATGCCTGAGTTCGTGCATTCCTCACCTGCAGATTCCACACAATCGCACGCGCACTCCCACACATACCATCGCGTGGATTCGCACGCACTTGCACGTGCACATACGATTGCACTCACTCTCGCATATCCGAACGCAAATGCACAACGCACCTCCAGACACAAATGCAAATACGCATTCGCACTCTCGCACCGATCCGCACCCCACATCGATACGCCTGCAACGGCGTAAAAAGCATCGCGGTGACTTCTCTTCGACTCCTGCCATCCACGTCGATATTCCATCGTTTCCAACTTAATTCCTAAGGGAAACAAGTTCATCCCCTTTCGTTGTCATGAACTTCATGAATTGAAAGTTTTCTTTGTGTAAAAGCGAAATTCGAAATTTATTTTCAATGTAGGAAAAATTTATTCCGGAAATCTTGTAAATGCGAAGCTTTTGTATTTTCTGAATCATGGTTTTTATGTTACTTTACATTGTAGACGGCGTGATTCACATTGTTAATGAACTCTTCCTTCTTGGTGACATGGAATAAAGAAAATCGTGGAATCTCAGGATTCACGGTTGCAGTTACTTGCAAAATGATTCATGTAACCGGTATAATGGTCGAAAAGAACGCACAGTATCTACCATAGGATCGCAAAAAAAATCAGCGAAGACAAAACTAATGATAAATGACGATTCTAAAGATGAGCAACATTTCTCATATCGTGGATGAAATTCCTTCGGCCGTCGGCTCGTTGGCTGATCGGAATGCCACGGCGGAATACCCGAAGAGAAACCGAGCGACCCGCCAGACCATGATGAAATCCGTCGACTGGAGAGAAAGAGCATCCGATCACGCCATAGAAAAGGTGAGAGAACTCGCGAAGATATCGAGGGACGAGCCAGAGATATAGAGGGATGAAGCCATCCGTCTTTGTTTCACCCTCCCTGTCGAGGATCCTCCGAGGATCCTCGTGCATTCTAGACGGAATCGATGATGAAGGGGGCTTTCCAACGGGAATTCACCCCGATCGTGGCACGGAATTCCGAGAGATGAAAGGGAAAAAAAAAAATGGTCTACATTCACTCGAGGAGATAGAAGCATTCCGGTTTTTTTTTTTAATGATGTATTACCTAGTTAAGATGAAAATAGAACGATGGACGTGAAGAATAAAACCGAGATCACAATTCTAGTCTTGTATAATCCCTCTCATCTGATATAACAACGGTGCACTCAGTTTTTTCTCGCTGTGAAAATCCTAAATTGGCAAAGAATACTTCTAATAATGCTCGAGGTTCCAATTCGAGACGCTTCGCCGAAATGAAAATCGCCTCCCCTTCGGCAGAAAAAACCGTCCGAAGACGAAAGTGCCTAATCTAGAATGCGCAGGCGAGAATTCCATTCAATTGTTCCTCTAAGGATTAGATCAATAAAGAGAATATCTTTTTTATCCTTCCGATTCCCCCCTAACGTTAAAAAAATGAAGGTATTGCAGGTGGATCCCCTTTTGGGTATCCACCTGCATTCCGTAGAATGCAGGTGAAAGAAAGAAGAAGTTGAAAATTCTTCAGTATTTAAAACGATTAAAAACCGCGAGGGATCGTGCAAGAAAATCGACTTTCCCGACAGTCGAATTCAGAAATTCGAAGCGTGAAATCGGTTAAGTTCGACGAAGGAAAAAGAAAGACATTCATAAAGAGATTTGTGAAGTCGGACGGAGACTTCCCGAGAAAACTTTTTCAACGGAACCTCGGAAGTTTCCCCCTAATATGCAGCACAGTCACGCCCAGTAACTTCGGACTTCCTCGCTGGAATGCAGTTTAACGAGTTCCTAATGGAAAATGGCCATGGGAAAAGTGAGGGCAGGCCCCCTCCCCCCCCCCCCCCCCCCTTCCCCTTCCCCCCCTCGCTGTGGATATCGATGGCCTCGGAATGCATCTCTGGAATTCCCTCAATTTAGACTTTGTTTCGGACAACGTGGTAATCCAATTCTACTGTGATTTCCTGAATTTTTTTTTACTGGTTCTCGATCAGGGATTATTTTTTTGTAAATATTGTGAAACCCTTTCACTGATTAACATCGTGTAAAACGAGTCCCGTCTCATTAGCGCCGATGAATGAAGTCGGTGGGAGGAGAGAGTTGCATTTTCGCATCCGTAATTCTCCTTGACTCTTCGTCCAGGATGCACGGCGGTTGCATGCAAGGACTGGATGAGGCAACTCGCGATGATTTGCACGGCAGAGAATAGAAAAGGTGATAGAAAAAAAAAAAAAGGATGCAGAAGAAGCGGGCGGCGCCTTTCATCTCCGCCTACCAGCATATCGATCGCGCGGAACCGGTAATCCTTAGCGGTGGCTTATTAAGAACTCGGGCAGGCACCGTTGCGCCATATTCGTCTTCCTAGCCATTCCTCTTCGGGTTTCGTTGCGGATAAAAACGATCGATTCCGTGGGAAACTGGTCACTGACACCGATAACGGAGCGAGAAACACGCGGTTCCCCATGGTCCATAAACGGTCCGTGAAAGGTCCATGAACCTTGGCCCTTTTTCTTGCAACTGCGATCATTCATCGTGCGATTCAGAACGCTAATTATCTGAAAAAAAGAACATTAAGACATCCGGACTACTTACGTTATCCTTGATAAACGTTTTTTTAGGCTTTTTTTCCATCATGATATGAAGCTTCACACCATCAAAGGTTTTTTTTTTGCAAGTGGATTTTAATTACAGTGATTAGTAACGAAAGCCGCGCATTTCTTTTCGTTCGATCAGACTATTAATGACTTCGATCCAATCATGAACAATCAATGTTCATCCAATCGAAGTCATTTCAGGAAATTGCATTCATTCATCGCGTGCGCAAGACAACGTGACTTTCGAATTTCGTAGCTTCGTGTGTGAAAAAAAATCCGATTTCTCCGTCGCCTTTCTGTCTTTCGACTCGCTGGTTATGAATGGCTTTGGGTCTCGCGATCTTAAAATTAATTACTGGAGGGGGGCCATAAGATTATTCTCTATGGGAAATTTATTCATTGTTGAATCTGGAGACTTTAGAGTCGAAGAAATTAAATTCAGTCGCACGAAAACGGAATGATGAAAGATGTGACGTCATTTTCAGGTTTACAAATAGACAGATAATGCACATAAAATACATTCGTTTCAACTTTAAAAACTTTTCGACGTAAAAAAAAAAAAAAACTTCAAACCTTAGACTTTAAAATTCGCCAAAGATTGTCATTTTATGGACACCCATTATTTTCTGTAGAACATTTTTCTTTGCTTTTAGACCGAAAAAGACCGCACGAAACGAAATTATCTGCGTAAGACTTGGATGCTATCCAGAACGCTTTCATTCGTAATTGCTGGAATGGATCGCAGAACCCCGCCGACGGCCGCGCTTCGCATGGCATACCGTGGCAGATGCGAGCGGAAATGCCGAGCCACAGCCGATTCCTCTGCCGCCGTAGAGATGCGGTCCGCTGATGCACTTCACTATCTCGGGAGCGGAACTTCCTATTATTCTCGGGCTTTCGTGTGATGAGCCGTCGGCGAGGGAGTGCGAGATTGGCCGCTCCTTCACGGAAATTTCACGAGACTTCCGCGAGGTTCACTTCAGAGTGCAGCGGCACGCAAGTCGTTCCGAGATGAAGCCGACCGAACGATAGAGTCCGAATCCAGAACGTCCCGAATTCACGTGCGAGGAGCAGCTTCCGTCTCTTCGCGGCACTCGGAGACTCCTTAATTAAAGGAGAGCTATCGTCTCTTAAAGAGACGGAAAGAAAGGAAGGAGGGAAGGAAGAGAGATGATGATGAAAGGAAAGGAAATATGGGGGAGGAGAAAACTGCACTGCATCTTTTTTCCCGACTTCATTCATTTCCACCCTCTTTGGCCCGGATCCCGAAAACCATGAAGACGCTCGTGCTTCCCTTTTTTCTCTGATGAACAGCAATCCGTCTGGATCAATTACTCCCATGGTCCTTCCTCTTTTCATCGGCTTCCCCCCCCCCCCCCCCCCCCCCCCCCCCCCCCACCTCCCCCCCCCCCCCCCCCCCCCCCCCATCCGACCCTGATCTTTTCCCAGCAGATTTCGATCATTCTCGGTTCCACTCCGATCCAAATGCGTTACGAGATGTGCCACGATTACCAAGCCCTCTGAGAGTCACGAGGGGCTCATGGCTTCTTTTCCTAGATTCTCTTCCACGAAGGATACCACGCTTCTCGTCGAATTCCGGATGTAATGGCCGTCGGGGAGCTTTCCACTGTCATGGCTCGCATCAGGATCATGGCAGAAAATACGGTCATGGCTCTTCAGATACGTTCATTTCAGCTTCCTCAGCCTCCCATTAAAGCCGCGAAGACGATCCAATCCTACATGATGACGGACAGGAAAAGAACTACGTGAACGTGCCCCGCAGATCTGCAACAATACCAAGACCGCCAGCGACAGCAGACGACAGCGGATGACAGCAGACGACAATGAAGGTTGCGAGAGTGGATGAGGTCGGGGGCAAACGGAAGCTCCTCGTAATGACTGCTCGCCCCGAGGCATCACGTCGCTCCGTCGTTGCTCCATTCCCCCTTTGGTTTTTCCTCTCCGGTGTATGCGATACGTGAAGCAATATGTCCGCTCCACGCAATCGATCACGTCGAAGACATTTCGTACGGTGAAAGGGAAAGCGCGAAGAAGCGCGAAGGGTAAGATCGAAAAGGACAAGGACAGTATTTCGCATTCTGCCCGTGACGATTGCGAGAAATTTCTTTCTCTTCTTTTCGGTACCAGACTTACGAGCACAATTACGAGGAAGGACGCATGCTTTCTGAGGTAGTAAATATCATTTTATTACCTGGAGTCGGTGGACTTGGCACTTTCCCCATTTAAAGTAGCTTGGGAAAAATGCGAAAAATGCGCGTTTCCTCATTCTCCTCGATGGCACGATCGTTCGTGGAATGATCGTCTTCGATACGGTGATTCCTCCTCGTTTCTTCGAGAGAGAATCATTTTCCATTTCTTCCTCTCTTTCCTGTTTTTGCCGAGCCGCTCGGTGTCGTGGAAGCGGATTCCTTTTCCGAGTCCCGTCCTCGTCAATATTCTCATTCAACTGCCGAATCGAAACATCGATTGAATCGTTTGGGTTAAACCTATAATTTTTCGCGTGTTTTGGCATCCTTCCATCGAGCCACTCCGAGCATCGAAGACGAATTTTCCTCACCTCCCGCAGGAAACCATCAGTGGAACGAATGTTGCTTTCGATAAGCTCCGTGTGAGTCTCCTGCCTTCCGTCTCTCCTCGATGAAACGAAGGAGAATTCCCATGAGCCGATCGGGTCCTAAAATGTTCATTTAACCTG